GTGGCTGTTTTGTAATCAGTGGCAAGTACGGTACCGGTAAATGAACGGCTTGGAGACGCCAGAAGCTCCTGAATAAGGGGTCGCCTGAGAAGGCTACTCTGGTAATCCAAGCCCGTGACTGATCTGGTACATGTGTGCTGTGCTGTGGAGTGTGGACAGTGACATGTTACCTTGGAGCTGCCTGTGATCAGCTCAGCGAGAAGGTACCCAGGTATGGCTTTGCTACCCGAGCTGATCACTAACAGACCCGAGATAAGCCTGTCACCTAGCCGATCACGGGTAGCAAAGCCATACCTGGAGCTTGGAGTGTCAGCATTCTAATTTGCTGATTGGAGAGAGTGTGTACGTCCAGGCGACGTGTGTCGTGCTTCGACAGCACGGGTTGATAGGACAGAGGTACTGTCCTGGCCCACATTTGTATTCATTTATAAATATTGTTGATATTGTGAAGTGTTATTGTTCAACTGCTCGGCCGAGGATCCCAATCGCTTCTAGAGCAGGTAGCTCGGTCATAATTGAGATTCACACCGTGCACACACGCTACCAGGGGGTGCACGTTACACTTTGATCAATTTCCATAATCATCAAGTTATTGTAACAATTATAGTTCTAAATTATAAGAGTCTAGTGTTCTCTGAATAATTACATTTTGAAGAATTTCAGAGTTTAGTGTTTTCATGTACTAGAGAAAATAAATACTTTCTATAGATTTCACTGTGATAGTTATGTAAGTTATTATTTAATGTGTCAGAGTTAGATTACTCTGCTTTAGAGAGGGTATTATTAGATAATACTTTTCGGCACAGAGTTGCCATAAATTATTGTTATTGTTATTTGAATATTTATCATAACTAATATTTCCAATCATTGCAATACAATAATACTCTATTCGGCCAGTGTACTTTGATACTTTTAGACGCTACAATTGAGATAATTAATACAAATACTGGAACATCCTCTTGATTGTAATATTTTATTGTAACTAGAGTAAACAGAGTGAGAGTTGAAATGCCATAATGTACCTCTGTAACAAATAAATCTTATGACTTTATCAGAATACATGTATTGCACTTGATTTGAGTTGTTCATCACTTTCCACGACATACAGTAGGCTTTAGTGTAACCCTCAAGTAAAGACGACACACAGTTTCGTTTCAGCAAACCTTTTATATTTTGTTTTTATTTCTACCGTACGTAACTGAATAATGAGCTGAATGGTTTAAATCTATATGTAGATGCTTTTTGTGTGTGTTTGTTTGGGGTTTAACGTCCTCGCAGTAGCCCGAGTCATACGAAGACGGGTGCCTGAAACAAAAAGCAAAATAATGACAACAGGAAAACAAGAGGTCCATGGGCCTTAACGGTCACCTGAGTCCTACAGTATTCATTTTTGTTGTAGAGATATGAAGTGGAGATAATGATGTCAATCATTCCTACCAATCTGAGTAACAAATAGTTAAGTATAACGTTAAATTAAGTTTGTCAGGACCATGACTTGATCATTCCTAGGACGAGTTTCAGTTAAATCAGCCTATTAGAACTAAATTTTAAGTTTGAAATAGTTCTTTTAACAATGGCGGCCATATTGAGTTTGTGATCGACCCGAAAAATAACAGCACTTTGCCAGGACCATGAGTCGATCATTCCTACCAAGTTTAAGTTAAATCGGCTTAGTAGAACTTGACTTTAAGTTTGAAATTGTTTTTCAAAATGGCGGCCTTATTGGATTTCTGGTCGACCCGAAAAATAACAACAAGTAACAATGAAATCCCTTCGACAGTATTTCGGCTTAATTAAGTTGGAAATGTAAAACGTTAACAGACGACGCACAACGACAGATAGCAATAGGTCACTTGAGTGCTGGGTGACCAAAAACGATAAGAAGTGTTGCAATGGGGCAGCAGATCAATTTTGGTTTTTTACATGACCGCTTCGTAAAACACACAGAAGAAATATCCCGATTCTGCAGGGAGAGTTGGGCTGCCACATTAGTCGCCTTTAACGATACATTCTTGATTTCAAGTAAGAATCAATTCCCGATTCTGCAGGGGACATGGGCCATGAAGCTTCATTGTGGTCATTTCTATGCAAAAGAGTAATGAAACTTGATGACGTTGATCTATAAGCATCAGTTAAGAGTGTAGATAAATACATGGAAACGTATTGATATTGACGTAATACTGTATATTAGACAATTCTTAAACCTTCACATCAACATCTTAACTTTACCATTTTTTATAATTTTTTCATATTAAGTGATTGGCCAGGAGTGCATCACGTGTTCACCGATAAAAACCGATATTGACTTGGAGCGCGTGATTTTTGTTGAAGGACTGTGTTTCTAAACATAGAATTATGACGTGTCTCCAAAATAAGCATAGAATTATGACGTGTCTCCTACCGAACGCACCGTCCCGCTTCAGAAGTTGTTTTGTTGTGGGGGGTTTTCAGATTGCTTACATCACTGTTATGAAAATAATAAAACAATTGTAGCCTTTAACTTTGGTCGATACCTGGATTTATCGACCCGAGAAAAGATATTATATAAATATGACATTCTTTAGCAGGTGACAGTGAATATTGTCAACCCCGAGAAAACCATTGACAATGGGTTTTTGAGGGTTGACAATATTCACTGTCACCTGCTAAGGAATGTCAAATCTATTTTGTTACACCAAAAGTCTTTGTAGCTCAGAAACGGCAGCAAACCTCGATAATGACATCTTGTTTGTCGATAGTCTGCTGTTTACAATCGCTATCGCACCGGCGCTTGATAAAATTGGCTGTTGCCGTCAAACTTTCTTGTGACCATCACGGTGGGGAAACGAAGCGGTGAACGCACATTTTTCGCGCATGTGATATTTTTCTCTGTCTCATGGCAATATCACCCGCGCCCCTTAAAACCAATGTATTTTCGGAGGGTGACAGAGATTTTTGTTTAATTTTCTCCCAACCAATCAAATGGCTAGAAATTCACTTGAGGTGTAACAAATCAATATCTCTCCCCCCGGGTCGATAGATCCAGGTATCGAACTCAGCTAAAGGCTATAATTGAATAATGTATGTTATATTAATGTAATTGAAGTGTATAAAGTATATTGAAAATATATACAAATGTGTATCAAAACATAGATATTATTTAAAGTCATGCAAGTATAAATCAGTGTAGTACAATGTACCTTAAAATGAAAGGATATGCTTTGTGCTATATCCCCTTACATGTGATAATAGTTATAGTTTCGAGCATTTTTCCGTAGAGGAGAAACACATTATATTGATTGCTAAAACACATATAAATCATTTCGCTACGACAGAGATGTTTGCAACAATTATCGAAAGAAGGTTTAAAATAAGTTGTAAATCCTGCTTCCAGTCTCATCAAAAATTGAATTAATTGTTATGTTGAAATGTCTCTAAAAATCGCAAATAATGGGGAAAAAAATAAACATAAAATGTACACCAGACATGCTTGTCAGTCATACTGAGGCAAAAAAATCGATTCCAGTCATAATAGCCGAATTTTAATTGCACCTCAAAGGAATTGCATCAAAAGGTTTAAATGTGTTTAAGTATATGATTTACTGTTTTCCATCTGAACAAGAGATCCGGGATCTCGACGCACACCTTTGTATAATCCTTATTAGTTATATGTCAATTTGTTCTTTTGTCTTATCCATCTCTGATGGTCGGGGATCGAGAAAAGAACACACGTGATGTTACCCACTGCATGTATCGTAAGAGGCGACTGATGTGTGAACCCCCTGCATAATTTGGAATTTACTTTTGTGCCCTCCACTTGGGGACACAAAGCGGTTAAAATATATCTGTTGCACCAATTCCAATAGTTGGGATCTTTGTTTTTTACTCTACTTCTAACTACCTTTTATTCGCTAGTGCCTTACTAACGATTTTGGCTTTAATGTCGAACGTTCGCCCAGGTGAGGAAGGCAATGGGTTCTGTCCCCAGGCCGGGAGATACCAAAGTCCTTAAACATGGTAGTTGTTGTTATTCCTTGTTAAACGTTCAGCATCAGATTCACGATATCACAAGGAGGGAAGTACATCAACACACCCCGTCTCCGGAACACATACACACATGCACTTCTCCACAACAAACACGAAGGCACGTCCCTAAATGACCTAAGCTGTTCAAAGAACGTCAAACGAAATAAAACCACTGCACATTTCTTCAATTTCACCAACCAGGTCGGATATAGAAACGACTTTTGCCTCAAAACGGGAGATAATTTCTCGAAAGGTCTCCTCTGCTTTTTCATTTTTAGCTCCTCTGACCCGAACGGCCAAGTGAGCTAATGCCGTAGCGCGTCGTCCGGTGTCAAGATTTTACTTTAAACGACTTCTTCAAAACAACCAAATTACCTAGGATGATGATGTTTGGCCAAAAGCATACGGGGTTTAAGGTCTACCAAGTTTGTTCAAATAAATGACCTTCACCGATATCAAAGTCACTGAGGTAAAATATGTTGAAATCTTTCAACGACTTCTGAATAACCAAAAGGTCCATGGTGGTGATATTTGGCCAAAGCATACTGGGAAGAAGTGCAACCAAATCTGTTTAAATGAATGACCTTTGCAAATATTCAAGGTCACAGGGGTCAAATATGTTGAAATCTTAAACGACTTCTTCTAAATGAAAAATGGCCAGGATGATATTTAGCCAGTAGCATGCTGGGATGAAAGGCTTGAAAAGATTGTTCAACAGAATTACCTTGATTTATATTCAATGTGCTTTGTCTTGTGTTTGTTTAAGTAACATTAGACAAATGTTACTCTGTCTTAATGACGGGCCTCGATAACTGCCCTCTCTCTTTCCTACCTATTGCACAGTTGTCGTCCTATCTTCATACCATGAATACCTGACATTAATGAAAAGTCAGTTTGATACAATGTATCATAAATGATAAGTACATCCAATTGAAATTTACTATTGTGATGCCAGTAAGAGAAAACAAAACTCCGAGATTTATGATATTGTTCTTTTATATCAACCTCAAGCTTATTTTAGTCATGGTGTTCTGGCGCTTTTGTGTATATATATTTCATTTAAATATTGTAGTACCAATACATATCGGCTGCTTTCCAAAATACACGGATAATAATAAATTTTGTTCATATGTTTTTCCCTTTTTGGTCGTAACATCTGTATATCCATTAAGTATATTATTATTAGTTGAGGTGTCTGCTGTGGTGTTCTAGTGGTGCACTGATCGCAGCACCGTCTATCCAAAGAATCAACAGAATACACGAAAATATAAACGAACAAACTAATAGCAGATTATCTTGAGGATGTGCAGCTCTCCGGCGTGCCGTCTTAGTGTTTACTGTAACACGAATCCAGCGTATAATGGGAAGTGCCGGCTGATGCGGAACTATCTCACTCACTGCCTCCTGAACTTGCCGACCACCTAAAAATGTAACACCTGTATATCCATTAGTTTACGTATAGTATTATTAGTTGAGGTGTCTGCTGTGGTGTTCTAGTGATGCCCTGATCGCAGCACCGTCTATCCAAAGAATCAACAGAATACACGAAAATATAAACGAACAAGCTAATAGCAGATTATCTTGAGGATGTGCAGCTCTCCGGCGTGCCGTCCTAGTATTTACTGTAACACGAATCCAGCGTATAATGGGAAGTGCCGGCTGATGCGGAACTATCTCACTCACTGCCTCTTGAACTTGCCGACCACCTAAAAATGTAATCAGACTACATGTTTTGGGTAAACATTTTTTAATTAAGGGTAACATTTCACGTCAGACTCCTTCAGGGTTGGGGAAAGTGTATGCCTACTGTTACCTACTGATTTTGTAATAAGTGCTTAATGTGGAAACCCCCGGTATAATTAGGATTTTCATACTTTGCAATTCCTTGCTTTTTGCCTTGGAGTTGAGCGTTCACCCAAGCGAGGGGAGCTTTGAGTTATGTTCCCTATATGAAGCAATTATGGTCGGTATGTTTTCTCACTTTTTCACTCAAAGCTGTTAAATTCCAAACAACCAATTATATGTGTCAACTTTGATTCTAAGTTACACTTTTGTTGGGGGGTTTTGGTGGGTTTTTTTTCTAGACCAATCACTCCTTTTTTGGAAGTGATCCCTTAACAAGTGAACATTCATTATTGCGTTTCATCTAATCCGTTTTCCTAGACGTTTTTATGATATTCGCTATTGAAGACGTTTATCTTAATAACATAACGGATAAAGGGTATTTAGAAAATACAAGAAACCAATACCCAATCGGAACCATTTGATTTGTTTGGTTTGGTTACTAGGGTTTAGCGTCCTAACAACATTTGTTGGGATTATAGAGGTTGCACTATAATGGTGTCTTTTTGAGACCAAAAATAAGCAAAAGATCCCACCGAAAGTTCTCTATTTTTTGTCTATTTAAGGATCTGCATCTGAGATGCTGGGCCCATAGTAATAACAATCCCCGTTTGTTTGTGCACACTTTCGTTCCTGGAGATTATTTCTAAATCTGCCAAACTCAACTTTTTGAAATTTGACATTGTGATACACTGTGTATGTTGATACGCAAAAAAGGTTAAAAGTTTCTCAGGTCAATGTCACTGTTATTTAAACCAGGACGAGGGGACGGGTGGTCGGGCACATGGTGGGGCCCTTGGTCCAGTCAAGGACAACAAATAGATATGTCCTTGGTCCAGTCAAGGACAACAAATAGATATTAATGAGTGTATATCACAGTTGCCAGTCCTTTCTATGAAGGGTTATTATTCCGTACCACGTTTACAATGATATGCGTTTTAAAAGTTTCAGATAAAGGTAAATATATACCTGTTACCACAGCGGAAACATCGGGGTCCACTTCCTGGTTCATGATGTTCTTGATATTTTGCAATGCGATTTGAAAATCCTGCTCGATATATTGTATTCTTTTCATTTTTGACAGAAATGTAGAGATGTCCTTGCTTTCAACGACTGTCTTTGAAAGACGAGTTTTAATTTTCTTAAGTTGTTCAAAACCTTTTTCACATCTTTTCATTTTGTTTCTCAACGTCGCCACACGCCCTTTGCATACATGAGAACAGAATTTCTGACATTCCTCTTCACGGTCAGCTGGTATTTTCCCTGATGTGTGCCAAACATTGAACCACTGAATTAACTCGTCTTCGTTACATGTTTGGTATCTTAGTCTGCTCACTATGCATTTATTTTGAAGTTTAATAAATGCAATTTCCAGTTTCATACGGGTCACTATGTCATCAATCTGCGACTTGTAATTCCTATATGCTTTTTCTATTGCTACTACCTGGTGTAACTCTTCGTTTCGATGTTCTTCAAGCACACCTTGTGCACAGAGAATCTGCATGCATCCCATACAGAAGAACTTCAAAACTCCATTATCATGACAATCTTGTTTGCATCTGTCGTCTGTATGATTCAGATTTTTAATGATAGGCTTTAACCTATGATGCTGGAAAGATCTGTGTCCGTGTGTTCGCACTTTGCACATATTACATAATGCCTGTGCGCAAGTTAAGCAGTTGTAGTCTGCCTTTGTCTTTTCACATTTGTCACATTTACAAGCGATTTTCGTCCGGATAAAGTCCATTAAATCTCCCCTTGTAAGATCCCTCGGATAGCTTGAGACATCACTTTCAAGTTTATGATCTTGCTTACACTGGGGACAGGTAATACTTCCGGCGCGTTTTGGTAGCTTGTAGAGACAATCAGAACAGTACGTGTGCTGACATGGTAACTGCTTGGGCACATTGGAGTCATCGTATTCCTCCACACAGATTGGACACTCCAGGTACCTTGACACGAGTTCAGATACAATAATATTGTCTTTAATACTATCCGACATGTTCCAAGTTCTTATATAGTTACATAAACTTTGTTGTCTTATCCTATGCGTTTTCAGACTGCACAGTACATGTATCTTAACAAGTATACACACACTACCTTTATTATCAAATTCTGTTATCTGACACTCAATGTCAAGGCCAGGTGTGCATACCTAAATGATTTAAATTACAATACCGCGTTCATATTCTTTATCTGTCGGTCTAAGCTAACAAAAGGGCTGTATGTCGACATACCTTTGTCGAGCTTTGTCAACTTGTCAAAATGTATAATTGATATATCCAAGGCTGTAAATACTGAAGTATTAGAACATGACATCTACTGTTAGTTACAACAGTCATGGTTGGTCACACATTTGACATATTATTGACAAAGTTGTTACAAGTCAATTGGCTGGCATAACAGGCAAAGCCTATATAAATTATCTCCGACGGTGGCTAAAGTGATGGATTCTGTAATTTTGGATTTGATTTAATATATGCATCGATTTTGAAATGAAAATTATAAACACAAAAGCTACAGGGATGTAACTCCTTCTTAATTTACATAACAGAAATTCAAATACATTCATAATTCTCACATCACACACAAAACACTTGCACAGCTAGTATTAGCTCACCTGGTCCGAAGGACCATAGCGAGTTTATGCCGTGGCGCTGCGTCCGTCGTCCGTCGTCAACTTTTTCTTTAAAACCTCTCTCCTCCTAAACGCCAGAGAAGATTTCAACCAAATTTGCTCTGAAACTTCATTGGGGGAGGGCAATCATTTCATAAATAAATGAGACTGGTTCGACCTCTGGGGCTAGGAAGGCCGGGCCCCAAAGAGGAAAATTATCTTATATTTAGCTTTTAGACACTAATACCCCCTAATTGCCTGAGGGGATTGTACAAAATTTGGTCAAAAACATTATTGAGGAAGAACAAACATTTCTTAATTGAATGAGGTTGACTTGCCTAAGAAATGGTACAGCTAGATTATCATATTCTATGGTGTAGTTTTCATAAATTGTTAAAAATTGGTTTCTATGTTTATAAAAGCTTATAGTTGAATGAAAATTAAAGTATTGTATAATTACACCCTGTAATATGACATATTGCTTATTTCAAAATCTGTTAACATGGCAACTCAATGGAGGCCCCTGATTAGTTAAAAGTCAGATATTGTGGTCCCAGTTCGGTTAGATCATAGATCTTGTCTGGTTTTGAGGAAATTTCATATAAAGATGTACTAATGCATTCTGTTGTAATGACTTAAATATAAAACCAGGTAAGCGATATAGGTCCAATGGAACTCTTGTTTATTTTTTTATAACATTTTATATAAGCTATCGAATCACAGTTATTGGAAGACATTGACCAAAGGTCCATGTGCTAATATATGCACAGGTCACAGTTGCCAAAAGTTATTGTAATTTTAAATTCAAACCGATAGCTAGTCTTTATGTAATTCAATGTATAAGGTGGACACTGTAAAACAAGACAGATTGAACAAATCTTACAACAAACAAACTTGCTCAACTGAAAACTCCTATGTCCGTAGAAGAATACCATTTATAGAAAAGTAGGTAAAGTAAAAAAGGGATCTTTTCCAGAAAATTTACTTATTTGTGGAGTATAATTGAAATAGGAATAGAAAAGTATAATCATATAGAGATTAAAACGCCTGGATTCACCAATAAATAACTACATCATTAAGAAACTGTCTGTTTGTTATTCCATCACAATCAGGACAGCCTTGTAGAAAAATGTATCAATATGGTTATGATTTCCATAATTATTAACAGAAGTAAATAAATTAAGTCTGAAATCATTATAAAATGGACATTCAAGAAAAAAATGGGAAACTGTTTTATATTCAGAAGAGCAAGCACAAGAGGGACAATCAGTTAAATGGTCATTGAATAAATCAAAATTTAAATTGCTACAATAGTTTACAAAGAACAATATTGGCCCTTCTATCACCTTCTGTTTTAGATATTAAGGTTGATTCATTATCAATAATAAGATCTTTATTCAGTTTGTGTTTAAAGGTTGCAAGAGTTGGGGAGTTTAAGAGGTCATTATCAGTAGTGTTAGTTGTGCGGCACATTAGAGGGAGGAAACTGTCAAAATAATTGTTAGTTCTGCATATTGGTGGATCATACAGTCTTGTTTGTCTAAGGGAGTAGGGATTATTGTTTTGATTGTTAATAAAAAGATTTAAGACATCTTGTAAGTATTGAGGTGACAGCCCATGCATTGTTTTATACATCATTATGTGTTTGTGTTTATTTCTTCTTGTTGACAGAGTTTCCAAACCAAGTTCGTTATAAAGTTTATTATGAGATGTTCCAGATCGAAGCCGAGTAATGATCCTAGCTGCTTCTAATTGAATAGATTCTAGAAGTTCTTTAGATTGGTGAGTGCAATTATCCCATACTATGTCTGCATATTCCAAAATTGGTCTAGTAAGTGCTATATAAATTTTAATGAATGATTTACTACTGACTTAGTTTTATTGTAACGAATAATGTTTAATTTACTATAAGCTTTTTCATATATATTTAGAATGTGTTGTTTCTAAGATCATCTTTTAACGTCCGTCCTAAGTGTTAATGTGCTGTTGTGTCAGTGATTTTGCTGTTTTGGAAAGGTCGTTATATGGCATAATGTTCGAGAGCTCGATAAAAATGGAAAGAGGCAATTTTATTACAGTTACATGTGCACATAAACACAAACATGCATGCATGCACTCATACTTATCATACATATATAACATACATACATACATACATACTTACATACATGCATAAATAACATACATACATAACATACAGGAATACATACATACATACATACATGCATGCATACCTACGCACATAGGCATGTATGTCTGCACGTAGGCACGTCAAACATACATTCATTCATACGCATGTACACTTGTTGCACATACATACATACGCACGCACATATATATGCACCCACACACATACACATCTCCACATGCACGTACAAACGGATGTACGCACATATATATATACATACATACCCACGCAGATATGCTTGTATGCTGTAAGCATATTAGTCATTAAAAGTATACACTAACAATTTGACATTCTTATACAGTAAATATTTTTGTATTGTGAGATGTTTTACTTGTACAGTATATTATTTGGCATTGTCATATGTTATAGGTATATAGTAAACAATTTGGCCTGGTGATATGTTATAGATATAAATTATACAATTTTGAATTGTGAGATGTTATACTTATACAGTAGGCCATTTTGAATTGTGATATATTATACTTATACAGTAAATTTGGCATTTTGATACACGATACTTGAACAGTACACAATTTGGCTTTGTGATATTTATGTTATAGTTATCCAGTATACAATTTGGCATTGTAATACATTATAGGTACATGTATACAGTATAAAAATTGGAATTGTGATACATCTGGTATTGTCATATGTTATACTTGTACAAGTTTACAATTTGACATATAAACAGAGGAAAACAATAAAAATATTTTTACTTTGTAAGAACTTGTTAATAATTTATGCGGACATACACATGTTTATATACATATACTCGCATACAGAGCTATACATGTTCATGTATAATATACATATTCACATATATATGGGGCAAAGAAGTAATTCCAACAGTGTGGAAAAGTTTAGGTTGTCAAATTTTCGGAGCGATCCGCTCCTTTTTCAAGACACAGTGAAACAGAACAGTTACATGTACATATACATCATATTACAAGATAGAATTGATATACTATAATTGAAAATATAGCTATTATATAAAACCAATAGTCCCCTCGGCTAAAGACAGCCGAAGGCAGCAATTAAGCTGAGAGCATCGCGGACAAGGAACGCTGATGTAGAGGACCTATTCTTGCGCAAGATGCACTATCATATAAAGTGAGTCAACGAGAGATATCAAAAACGTGGAATATGTGCATGTGGACATCTGGCCCGGTAGATGTGAAAAATCTCCAATTTGCTACGGAATGTCTCATTAGTCGCCTCTCAATACAGCGATGGATCTAACAGTCACAGCAGGGGTCCACACTTAGTCGCCTCTTTTGGTTTGCAGGAATAATGCATGTGCCTCTTTTGGTTTGCAGGAATTATGCAAGTAATTATCAAATAAGTGAGTGCAGGAGGAATAAGTAGATGAAATGGCTAAGATACTGAATAAATCTTCAAAATTAATCTGACAACGGCTGTTGGTCACACACACTGACATGAAGCAGCAGGCAGGCGAGATAGGAGACCAACTGTGCATTAATGCATCATTAGGTCAAATGCCCCCTGGAAGGAAAACGAGCGGATGGCAACCGCCTATCGTTCGTCATACCTCGAGGGTAGCGGGTTTGTAGATTGGTGATCCAAAACCGTTCTCTCGTACGTCGTCTCGTTTCATCCCATGTAGGGCAATGATCTATGGCAACAACCTGCATGTCTTTCCACCTATGGCTAGGCATATTACAATGCCTTGCCACAGGGGAAGTCTGGTTTGTTCTGCTTGATGGAGCAGCGGTGGTTGTTGATCCTGACATTGAGATGGGTGCAGGTCTCGCCCACGTACTGTAAATTGCATTTATTGCAGGTAATAAGGTACACCACATTGACTGATGTGCATGTCAGCGTTTGTAGTATGTGATACACATTGCCGTTGATTGTACATTGAAATGTATCTATGGAGCGCGTGTATGGACACAGTTTGCACACCTTCTTGTTACAGGTATTGAAAGAGCCTTTCGCCGCAGCAGGGTTATGTGTAGGTAGCTTGCTGCTTACCACAAGATCTCGAATGTGTTTAGGTCTACGATATGCCAGTATAGGAGACTCTGGAAAGATCTGCCTAAGTTTCGCTGAAGATTCGATGATGCGCCAGTACTTTTTCAAGATAGATGGAAGTGGCGACATGTCTGGGTAGAACATGACTACACAAGGTACCGTTTGTGTATGGGGTCTGACTTTGTATACAAGCAGACTTGCCCTGTCCAGTACCCTCACTTTGTCTATTTCCCGATCTATCAAAGTAGATGTGTATCCTCTGCCAAGAAGATGGGACTTTAACTCTTGAGCATCTGCGTTCAAAGATGATGTATTCCGAAATAATACGCCTGATGCGCAGAGCTTGGGAGTAGGGTATGCTTCTCGTGGTGTGCGAGGGGTGACAACTGGATGGGAGGAGATACTTGTGTGTGTCCGTACTAATCTTACCATCAATCAGAGTGGAACTGGTGTCCAAAAATGTGTTGCTCTCCGTTGAGATATCCGCTGTGAATTTGATGGTGGCGTGGAACGCGTTAGCGTACTCAATAAACTCGTCAAGGGAGTCCCGACCCGATGTCCATTTGATTTCAACGTCATCGATAAATCTCAACCAGCTAAATGGCTTAATTGGAGCAGATGTTAAAAGTTGGGCTTCATGATGTCCCATAAAATCATTGGCATATGAGGGGGCCATCTTAGTACCCATGGCTGTACCGCTTACTTGTATGTAGTTATCCTTCATTGAATGTAAAGTTGTTAAGTGTGAGGACAAGTCTCAGTAAATCCACCAGGCTATCAGTCGATGGGTGTTTGGTACTGCGCCGTTCCCATGCCTCGCGACAGGCTGCAATGCCGTCGTCATGCGGTATGTTAGTGAAGAGGGAAACGACGTCCATCGTAACTAACAAGGTACCTTCTGGTAAGTTCTTAGCAGGTGTTTTGTTTAGATAGTCTGTGGTGTCTTTTAAAAAAGATGGTAAATGTTCCAGGAATGGTCGGAGGTGTAAGTCAACAAACTTGGAAATGTTCTCCGTCGGGTGGTTGATCGAGTTAATGATGGGTCTACCAGGGTTCCCAGGTTTGTGAATTTTAGGAAGAAGATAAAACTTTCCTGCTTGAGGGTTTTCGGGGCGCAGGAATTTCGCGGTATCGTTGTCAATATCACCCTTCTCTAAAATTCTATTGATGGTATTAATAATCTGCTGTGCGTGTACGTGCGTCAGGTCACTATCGACCTTACGATAAAATGTCTCGTTGGAGAGTTGCCGATTAGCCTCTTGGATGTAGTCGTCCCTGTTCATTATAACAACTTCACAGCCTTTGTCCGCTGGCTTGATGACAATGTCCGAATTATTTTTCAGGGATTTGAGTGCCTGGCGTTCCAAAGGTGACAGATTGTCCTTGGTTGTCTGCGTGTGGTTTAAGTGGGCGGTTACTTCCTCCTTCACTGCACTGATGAACGCTTCGAGAGCAGGTACTCTGCTGGGAGGAGGGTTCCATTTACTTTTATGTTTGAATGGATTGATCAGGGGTGCGACGGGAGACTCTTCTGACGGAGTATCCTCTACATCATCTGGGTCAGGGTCGTTAGCAAAGTACACGCGTAGCCGAAGTAGCCTGTAGAATCTGTCCATGTCTTCGATCAGCTCTGCATTGTTGGGGCTTTTACATATTTATATAGACATGTACTATACTCGACAAATACATACATGTAACTACTCACAATCTAGGGAGGTCAATGTTTTAGGAGTTGAAACATTTCAACAGTGTACATTATACCCTTTCTGGGTGTATAAAACACATGTATATTAGCAAGTAATTTGCACATGTATATATTAATGTGTATAAAGGGCTTCACATACATATAAAAAAAAAAAATAGTGTTATTCTTAAGGGTATATAGGTGACCAACTCTTTGAGGTTCATTCACTTGGCTTTGGTTTTCAAATAATTTTGGGGTTTTTTTTTGGACTTAAGTAAATAGGATTTCCATTCATTCCATGTTTTGTTGAATTTTTGGATTTGCATGTGCTTTTGTGACAAGGTCATTTCGTATGTAAATGTGTGAGTTAGGTATTCTTTCAATCCTATTATTGAAAGATTTCCTGTATTCTTTGAATTACAGAATATGTAGTATTTAGTTATGTAATGATAATGTTAGTTGGGTTTTTTTCATTAGTATCTCCTGTGACCCCAAATAGAATTGTACTTATATTAAGGTCAATATTTTTAACAAGTTTATTATGAATCCATCTTCTAAGATTTTCCCATAAGTGTTGGGTGTTGATGCAATTCCAAAATAAATGTTCTATTTTTTCAGGGTGTGCTCTTCAGAGTGAACAAGTATCAGAGTCTTTAATACCAATTGTTTCATTATTGAATTTGATACACAGTTTGGTGTGACAGCCATATTGGAATGACCTTAAGTGGGAAATAATAACTTCCAGTTTGAAGGTCTTTGGTATTTCCTAGCTTGGAGACAGAACCCATTGCCTCCCTCACCTGGGCGAACATCCAACACTAAGGCCAAACCCGAGTTATTGGCAAGCAATGCACTTGGAAATAAAAAGGTTGTTAGGAAGTAGAGTGAAAATATAAAGATCCCAAATGTTGCAATACGCGCAGCAAATGTATTTTGGTCGCTCGTATGTTCCCAAGGAGAGGACACAAAATCAAATCCCAAATTTTGCTGGATAGTTGCTTTACTCTCGATACTCGAACTGCAGGTGTGGAAATTCATATAGGAATACAATCACTAGCTCCTAACTATATGCATAGAAGGACAGTTCCTGCAGGTCAGGGGATCGAGACCCATGCAGATTTAGGGATTTGCTCCTGTGTCCTACACATGGAGATACTAAATTGAAACAAATATATTTCCTTCACCTCTAGCTACTTTTGGCATGTATTTTCTCTTTTACGACATTTTTGTGTCCAAATGCCTTCCTTTGCAATACCTCACTTTTGTCCTGAGTTAGGAAAGTTGACCTAGGTGAGGAAGGCAATGGGTCCGGTCCGCCGACGGAACGTGCCAAAACCTTAAAAATGGAAGTTGTGATTTCCAGGTTGCCATTCAGAGGGTTTGGTTTGGTCATTTAATGACGTGCCTTCATGTGTGTTATATAAGCGTGCATGTATGTGTGCCGAGGGTGGAGGTGTATTTGCCTCCTTGTGATAGTGTGGATGCGATGCCGATTTAATAATGCCAATCTTCGTGAAATCAATTCTGCCATGATATATCGCAGGGGTACAGAGAGTGCAAGGGAGAGTAGCCCAAGGAAAATTTAGGATGGTGGGTCAATGGAAGATTGTTTTGTTGTTTTACGTCATTTAGAGCCAAACAATACGTACAAAATGGACATTTTTAAACAAGAGGCCCAATGGGCCTGAATCGCTCACCTGGTATTAATCTCACACTTGTAATCTTAAAAGTGGACAAAAATACAGCTACAGGCAGAATATCAGTGTTTGATTCATACGAACCTATTAAAAGATTTAAACATATGACGCCTGTGACCTTGAAAGTCGAACAAGGTATTAGGTTAAACAGAGTTTAAAGTCTTCCAACCCAGCATGCTTTTGGCAAAATATCATAACCCTGGACCTATTGGTTATACAGAACAAGTCATTTAAAGATTTAAACATATATTGACCACTGTGACCTTGAATATGGGCGAAAGTCATTCATTTTGGCAAAATTGGTAGCCCTTTATCCCAGCATGCACAGGTGCCCATGGAGACACAACATTAATGGTCATATGAGCACAGGTGCCTAGGGAGACACAACAGCAATGGTCATAGCAGCACAGGTGCCCACAGGTCTCCCTAGGCACCCGTCCTCATATGACCATTGATGTTGTGTCTCTGTGGGCACATGTGCTGCTATGACCATTGATGTTGTGTCTCCCTAGGCACCTGTGCTCATATGACCATTGATGTTGTGTCTCCCTAGGCACCCGTGCTCATAATACATCCAGACACACATATATAAAAAAAACATGGAGGCGCATCCTTGAATGACTTAATCTTTCAATTTAATATTTATCTGCTGCCCCATTGCAACACTTTGATGTTTTTGGTTTCCCATCTTTCCTGTTACTTTCATTCCAGCAGTGTCTCCCTAGGCACCTGTGCTCATATGACCATTGATGTTGTGTCTCCATGGGCACCCGTGCTCATATGACCATTGATGTTGTGTCTCCATGGGCACC